ATCTTCGATTAAGAATCAAAATGCAGATGCGTTGTCACCCGTAAGGACTAAGATGGAATGCCTCGTTTCCAGTAAAAAGGGTCTCCGGTTCTCTACACTCACCATACGAAACACAGCAGCATTTAGCTGCTATTTTTCGCTGGTATTCTATGAGAGCGTGGTCCTTCCCCGGTCGAGCCGACCCATTCGTTCTACAACCATAATATAGCTGCAGCATGGCTCTACCACGTAAAAAATTAGGTCTTTGTGTTTGTGCCATCTAGCGTCTATCCTACTTACCACCTCGAGAGTCCATCGATTTTGATTTGATAAAATGACTAGAACTATAGAACGTTGTAGATGGCGCTATTTATTACAAAGCAATTTACTGGAAAGAAAATATCCTTTCGAGTACACTAAAGTTGAGGAGGCTTCAGATGTCTAAAAATAAGAATTGTAACATTTATTTGGTTGAAAATTATATTAAATAATATTATAAATCTATAATATAATTTAATATAATTTTCAACCAATTTTCAACCATTTTCAAATATAATCATATTAAATCTGAAAAACAAAAAATGCCGTTCATACCTTATAGTAAGGTAATGGTGGTTTTAAATCGTTAATTTCCAGAATATTACCGTCATCTACATGCGACCTCAATAATCTTTCAGCACCTAATTAGCACTTAATTTTTAGGAACTGATAAAGAACAAAAAATACTGTTCATACATTATAGTAAGGTAATGGTGGTCGTGGACCCCATAATTCCCAGAATAATATCGTAATATGTATCGGGTTTCGATAATCGATCTGCAGCTCTTAATTAGCACATAATTCCTTGCTATTAATATTTATCGTATATCGAGTAACGTCATCAGCGTTGCTAGCGATACGTTTTGCCAGCTACGCAAATTTCAATGGTTCGTTGCGGTGAAAATATTGGAGCAACTAATTTTTAAACTTGGTACTTAATTAGCACCTAAAAGCCCCTAATTTGGACTTTTTCTGAAAGCAGTTTTGATTCTATTTTGATTTTCAGGAAATCTGAATTTTGCATCTGCTATGTTCTGAATAACGACTTTATTTTTATTAGGGGCGCCTTGTTACTGCGTATACATGCAGCACCTAATTAGCACCTAATTCCTTGCTATTAATATTTATCGTATATTTAATAACTTCATTGCGTTGCTAGCGAGACGTTTTGCTGGCAACGCAAATTTCAACAGTTCGTTGCGGTGAAAATTTTAGAGCACCTAATTTTTAAACTCGGCACCTAATTAGCACCTAAAAAGCCCCTAATTTGGGATTTTTCCAAATGCAAATTCCCGACTTTGCGTTGCTAGCGATACACAACTCACCTATGCCGGTAGTTGTTGGGAGCACTAAGCTCGAAGTTGTTGACGATTATGTTTACCTGGGACAAATAGTCCGACTAGGTAAGTCCAACTTCGACCGAGAGGTCAATCGACGGATTCAACTCGGCTGGGCAGCGTTCGGGAAGCTACGACACATCTTCTCGTCAGACATACCTCAAAACCTGAAAACGAAATTGTACAACCAGTGCGTGTTGCCAGTGCTGACTTATGGAACTGAGACGTGGTCCTTCACTGCTGGCCGTATGAGGAAGCTCAAGGTCGCTCAGCGAGCTATGGAGAGGGCTATGCTCGGAGTTTCTCTGCGTGATAAACTTAGGAATGAGGATATCCGCAGTAGAACCAGAGTAACCGACATAGCCCAACGGATTAGTAAGCTGAAGTGGCAGTGGGCCGGCCATATAGCTCGAAGAACCGACAACCGATGGGGAAGAAAGGTTCTCGAGTGGCAGCCTCGTACCGGTAGGCGAAGTGTAGGGCGTCCCCCCACGAGATGGAGTGACGACCTGGTAAGACATGCAGGAAGTCGATGGATGCAGGTGGCTCAGGACCGTGCTTTGTGGCATTCTTGGGGGAGGCCTATGTTCAGCAGTGGACTTGTGAAGGGCTGTAATGATGATGATAATGAAATGTCTACTGCTGAACACAGCCTCTATAGATTGCCTCTTAGTGGGAATATTTTCCACAGTTGCCATACTTCGTAAGCATGTTCGTAAACGCAGATTAATATTTTGAACTGTTATCAGGAAGATGCTGCAGTCAATCGCCAGTTTCATTTCCCTTACGGTACCCGCGATAAATTGAATGGTATTCCTATTTCTATTTTCGTAAATAATATTTATGATTTTGTCTAGATTTCGTATTTTTGTCACTTACTACCAGAAAGTTTTTAGTATATACGTCCCTGGTCGCAGCCATTGATTGTATTATTTCATTTTCTTAAATCCTAACAGCCGAACGTTGAAATTATTTAAATATTTCAGTCACTAGCTCCATAACTATAAACCATTAGTTTCGAAATTCTAAACAATTCTCCAATAACCTACGCTTGTCGAGTTACCTTTACAGCACTGTTGTTCTAGTGGTTGATTTCAACAACGGTGACTCTAAATTATTCTTATTTCATGATATTACTACCTGAATGACCGAAGTTTGCTAGGCGTCAGAAAAAAATAATTATCTCAGGGATGAAACCTTTCTAGATAAAGAAAAGTTAAACATTATTTTTATACAAAATTTTACCGAAATATTTTTTTATTAAATAAAATTACATATTACCTTCTCTCTTCCTCTCTCTCCTATTATCCTTCGTGTGTACGAATAAGTAGATATATACTTAATATCGATGTGGGTACATATACATGTCAATATTTTCTCAGTTATCAATGTTACATACAGGCCTCAGAGTAAGTTACATATTATGATGTAGGTATGTTATTGCTCCAGTAATGTACAAGATACCTTAAATAAAGTATCTGGAATACAAAATGCAAAATACTTTTAAATTAAGTATTTCAGATACCAGATGCAAATAACTTTCTGGAATGGTATCTGAAATACAAGATATAAAATACGTATCTTTTGAATACTTTTTACAGATAAAATACTTTTGTAAAAAACAACATTTTTTTTAATGAAAATTTTTTTTACATGTAAATCGCGTTGATCGCGCAAACGTGACACAACATAATATTATATTTTCTACCGACTTCAAAAAGGAGACGGTACTCAATGCGACTGTATATTTTTTATGCGTGTTACCTCATAACTTTTTACTGGGTGAACCGATTTCGATGATTCTTTTTTATATGAAAGCTGGTGCTTCACAAGTGGTCCCATATGAATTTGATTAAGGTCTGACCAATAGTTTTTGATTTAGTTAGTTAAGTTTTAGTTGTACAAAATTTTTAATTTTTAATTATTAAGGTTTTAATTGAGACTTAAGTAAGTAAAACCAGTTCGTCAAACAGTTTATCATTAATTTTTCTTCGATGAGGCCTCATGATCATGCCCCCAAATAAGAAGAGTCGCTCTACAGGGGCTTCTCATACGACCAAATTTTTACGTATTTCCCTAAAACACAGACTATTATGTGGAATAATTAAAAATGACACGAGTCAAGTCGATGACATTTTGTAGAAATATAAAATTGCCATGCCATCTCTGAATTTGGCCCTAGAGCCCTAGACTAAAGATTTAATGGCACGTTCAGTTGTATCTACGACAACATTTACATTTAAAATTAAAATGTCACAATAGACTCTGTTATCTATTACTAAAAGTATTTTAGCAAACATAGTATCTACAAAATACTAAGATACTAAACAAAAGGTATTTAAATACAAGATACGAAATGAATTTTAAAAAAGTTTTATAGTTACAACATGAAAATACATATTATATCTTAGATAAGTTACATCTTTGTATTGCTCTTTAGTTACGGGTTACAGGCATAGAAAAAACTGTTTGGAACACTTGAACTACTTTAGGTCCGAAAGTAGTAAAAACGTATTGCGACAGAAATAAAATAAAACCATTGTATGTTTAGTTACTCGTAGTTTCATTTACAAACGATCGCAATTCGCTCAGTAATTATATCTCCGTTACTTGAGCTCGTTAAAATTGACAAGCGTGAGTTGTGTATTCGTCGTACGAATGTTGAATTACTAAAATGGCGATGGTATGGTAATACTAAGACAGTTTAGAGAAAAATAAAATAGCACTGACACTTGAATATTCCCTTCGAGTAATTACATACTTGTCCAATTTGTGCTTTGTGCTACTTTGTGCTTTTATGCAATTCAATATGATATAGTCAAAAAACAAATTATACCAAAAATTTGGTTAGTAATCTATAAAACTTAAAGAAATTTGTGAAATAGAAAAACTAACACCGCACACGATGTATTACTTAGAATAAATCGTCTTTTGTTACATAGTACACGTGTTGCTAATAGTGTAATATGCTAAGGTAATATGTATGTTGTTACTCTAAACAAAGTGCAGTGAAATAAATATTTTATTACTACCACCTCATTTCTCTCTCCTCTCTTTTGTTATCACCATACGTAACACTGATGTTGATGCAATATGCGGTTAATTATCCTTGTCGAGATAACCCAGTCCCTGCATGTTTCATCAGGTCCTAGTTTTATCTCGTGGTGGGTCGCCTGTTTGTTTGTATGAGGGACTGAGGGTGTACCACTTGACATCTTTCCTTTTTAACCGACTTCAAAAAAAAAGGAGGAGTTTCTCAATTCGACTGTATTTTTTTTATGTTTATGTGATTATTCTTTTTTTTATTTGAAATTTGGTGCTTCTCATGTGGTCCCATATAAATATGATCAACATCTCACCGGTAGTTCTCCTTAATAATACGTATTTAATTGACTTCGACTACATTGGTGATGTTCTCGTTTTATTTATATTGATGTTGGTTGTACAAAATTTTTAATTTTACCACTTGTTTAGTATTCTGTATCAGTTTTAATGGCAATATTAATTTTTCTAAATTTTTGTTTGTTTCTTTGTCCACAGATCGAGCTATGTACCACTCGTGACGCTGGGAGAACCGTATAAAAAGCCGATGGATTGAGGGTCACATGAGCATTAGACAGTCAATTATTAGCAATAAACGTCAAGATGTCCCACCACTTGGTGACTGTGTGCATGTTCTGTCTTCTGTGCGCGGCGCACACGTGTGGCTCACATGTCGACGTGCATAACGACATATTGTCTTACCAGCCCGAGCTGAAGGACACCGAGCACATGACGCCGGATCTCGGCAAGAGAAGAATAGAGTCGCGGTTGCGGTATCACCAGAAATTACAGAAGATAAGACAGAAGAGGGACGTCAGAAATGTGAACCCAAACGTGTATGTAGAGCAGATATTCAGGATGTATGGTGACGCTGGCACCATGACAATGAACCTTACTGGTTTTAATAAGATGCTGGAAGGCTTGGACCTTCACAAGCTGGTTGAGGGTGGTGTTCAAAAGACTGAGAGAAAGGAATATATTTACGGACAGACTGGGGCCAAAGAAGATGTTGTCAATGTAAGTACTTGAATTATTAAAATAAAAATAACTGCTCGAAGATAATTAAAGTTAGAAAAATCAGAAATGTCTACCGTCTTTGGGACACATGGAGCTCGTGAGACCCGAAAACACTTTTCATATATTTTTATCCAATTATACCTGGTAGAGCCATGCTGCAGCTATATTGCTGTTTCGTGTTTCGCCGACGATTATACATAGATTAAGCGCAAAATAGCAGCTTAATGCAGCAGTTTCGTGAGAGTAGAGAACCGGAGACCCTTTTTTTGGCATATGGTCTAACACAACTGATTACTTCGCTTATGCGGATCCCAGATGTGGAGGATCATGTACCTTCCCTGTTGGACCTCCTGCTGACCTCTCATCCGAACGGATATCAGGTCTCCGTCGATGCCCCTCTGGGCTCCTCCGACCATTGTCTGATTCGGAGTACGGTGTCACTCACGCGCCCATCGCAGTTGCGATCTGCAGCTTGTCGCCGTGTTTGGCGCTATAGGTCGGCGGATTGGGACGGGATGCGGTCTTTTTTTGCATCCTACCTTTGGGCGCGGGTTTGCTTTTCGCCGGAAGATCCCAGCGTTATTGCCGATTCTGTTGCTGATGTGGTACTTCAGGGTATGGAACTTTTTATTCCATCCTTTGTGGTGCCCATCGGAGGCAGATCCCAGCCATGGTTTGGTCGCTGCTGTAAAATAGCATCACGCTATAAGCAGGAGTGCTACCGGGCCTGGGCTGACGCATCAACGTCTCGGGATGTAAACACCAGCGTACTTAAAAAGAAGTATAATTCCGCCTCCAGGTCGTTCAAAAGCGTCATTGCCAAGGCAAGGTCTGAGCACATCGGCAGAATTGGCGAGAAGCTAGTTCCTTCGGGAACCCGTGCATTTTGGTCTCTCGCCAAGGCTGTCTAAGGGAATTTCTGTCAGCCATCTCTTCCATCTCTGTACAGAGAGGACGACTCACTGGCCCATGCCGCAAAGGGGAAAGCCGATCTTTTAAGCTCTCTCTTTGCGTCCAACTCGACTCTAGATGACGAGGGGAACACACCGCCGACCATTCCGCGGTGTGAGTGCTCCATGCCGGATGTGCGATTTATACAGCGCTCGGTTCGTAAAGCACTCTTCTCCTTGGACGTCAGCAAGTCGAGTGGGCCTGATGGAGTCCCTCTCATTGTGCTGAAGACGTGTGCTACGGAGTTGGCACCGGTTTTAACGCGTCTTTTCCGGTACTCCTACTCCCAAGGCATAGTCCCGAATTCATGGAAGACAGCTTTGGTCCACCCGATCCCTAAAAAAGGCGACTGCTCAGACCCGTCCAACTACAGGCCTATCGCCATAACCTCTTTGTTCTCCAAAATAATGGAATCCATTATAAACTGCCAGTTCATGAGGTATCTTGAGGATCACCAGCTGATTAGTAACCGCTAGTACGGTTTTCGTCGGGGTCGATCAGCTGGTGATCTTCTGGTCGACCTGACTCATAGATGGGCGGAGGCAGTAGAGTCCAAGGGGGAGGCATTGGCCGTTAGTTTGGACATAGCGAAGGCCTTCGATCGGGTCTGGCACCAAGCGCTTCTTTTGAAGTTTCCTTCCTATGGGCTTCTCGAGAAATTGTGCAAATGGATCACCGGTTTCCTTGCTGATCGGAGCATCAAGGTCGTAGTAGACGGTGCATGCTCTGATTTCAAGCCTATCAACGCTGGTGTTCCACAAGGCTGCGTGCTATGCAGACTACAGCACTGGTGATGCCTTATATACTGGCTGTGCCAATATTTCTCGGGAAAACGTCGCCGAGTACCGGGACAAACTTGTGTCTGAAGTCAAGTCTTTGCTAAACAAAGTCTCGGATTAGGGCCGACTAAATCTAGTCCAGTTCAATCCCCAGAAGACACAAGTTTGCTCGTTTACCGCCAAAAAGAACCCCTTTGTCGTATCTCCTCAGTTTCAAGGCACTCCCCTTGCTGCCTCAGCTAGTATCGGAATCTTCGGCGTCGACATATCGAATAGTCTACAGTTTCGTGGTTACTAGGAAGGGAAAGCCAAACTGGCCTCTAAAAAGCTTGGCGTGCTCAGCAGAGCGAGACATTATTTCATGCCGGCACATCGCTTGCAACTTTACAAAGCGAAAATCCGGCCTCACATTTCCATTTTCCAGTTTTCCTACTGTCCTCATCTCTGGGCCGGGGCACCCCAGTGCCAGCTCCTTCCAATTGACCGCATCCAGCGCAGAGCGGTTCGAATCGTCGACGACCGAGTTCTTTCTGATCGGCTCGATACACTGGCGCTGCGTAGAGATGTTGCATCTCTTTGCGTATTTTATCGCATTTACCACGGGGAGTGCTTTGAGGAATTGTTCGGACTAATTCCATCCGCTCAATTTCACATCGCGACAAAACTTGCGATACCATCCATACCACCTGGATGATTAGCCGTCCACCACTGTGCGATTTAGAAGATGTTTTCTTCCTCGCACAACTTTCTTGTGGAATCGATTACCACCAGCGATTTTTCCGGACCGATACGACTCAGGGACCTTCAAGAAAAGAGCCTACTCCTTTTTAAAAGGCCGGCAACGCATATGCAATTCCCCTGGTGTTGCGGTTGTTCATGGGCGGCGGTAGTTACTTACCATCAGGTGAGCCGCATGCTCGTTTGCCCCCTCTCCTATAAAAAAAACGAAGCATTCCATCTTAGTCTTCACGGATGACAACGCATCTGCATTTTGATTCGCAAACGTGCATAGATGTCTATGGGCCACATCAACCATTTACAATCAGGTGGACTGTGTGCTCGTTTGTCAGCCTTATCCTATAAAAAAAGCATCTTCCTGAAAACAACTGAAGACAATAAAAAAAAACTGTTTGCCAAGCGTGGTAACCATTGCAAAATTCTCCCTATGGGGCAGTCAATGTAGCAGTGGAATTTTGATAGACTAATAATAATCGAATGAATGGATTAGTAGACTCATTGCCTGACGTCACATAGAAAGTTGGCTTATGTTCATTATCATAAAGACATGTTGACATAAATACACGTGCCGTGAACCGTGATACCTCAGAGGGTCCTCACGCTTAAATGTACACGAGCAAACCGAGTCGATTACCACAGGTACCAATGATATTGTTAAATGCATTAAATGAAACTAATTTTTACGGACTTTTATCGCGTTTAACTTTTTTAACTTCCGACGTTTCGGGTGCTCTACAGCACCCGTGGTCACGGGTAGGACTAAGGTGTTTGGCGTCCCGATGTCATAGTTAGCCCGGCTACCTTCAGTTTTTGAATATTAATTTTTGGTCCGATCTACGCAGAATGACCTTACAGTATCTTGAAGTCTTACAGTGGCATGCTTCTTATGTAATGGCGGGGACGATCTAGAACATGTTCACACACTGCAAATTTCCCCTAACTATGACATCGGGACGTCAAACACCTAAGTCCCCCCCGTGACCACGGGTGCTGTAAAGCACCCGAAACGTCGGGAATTAAAAAAGTTAAATTAAACGCGATAAAAGTCCGTAAAAATTAGTTTCATTGTTTCATTTAATGTATAATCTTCGCGTAAATATAAGAAATCATTTTGTTAAATGCAGTTTTAAACGTGGATGTGTTACGTGTACTACGGTTGAGGAAAACATCGTAAAGAAACCTTTCATTTAAGGTAATATAAATATTTTGAAGAGATGTGTAGTTGCGGCAAACGTATATCTGTTGTGCACATTCTGGTAAGAGTCCTGACTAGACACTGTTGTCTTAAAAAGCACATGTCCATCCTGGGACTAAGCAACTCAAGGATGTGCCGGTTTTGCTCCCTAGAGGAGGAAACGCCTTTACACATTCTGACAAATTCCGGACCCTTAATGCGCAAACGCAGCACTCATCTGGAAAACACAGCTAAGCAACTCTTTCTATTCATTGAGGACGTAGGGCTTAGCAGTGAACTGTAGACATAGCAGCGATCACAATGGATCTTTTAGGTCGCAGTGATACTGGTCTATCTAGACTTGCATAGCTGCTCGTACAAGAAAAAAATCTGCTACCCGATATAATCCCGTGACTGTCGTAAGTTTCAACATAGGGAAACTGAAACAGGACATGGTCAGAGCAGCCTCTTCCTGATAACAACTCCAAACTCAAACAGGAAAGAACTCAAAATGTCTGTAAAAAACTGTGTTTGCCAAACCTCTCCAAGCGAACAAGCAAGCGGCAACTATGGCAGAATCCCTCCTGTTAGACAACTATGGAAGGGGCCTAGGTTCAGTAGTAGACAGTTGATAGGCTGTAATGATGATGTGAAGTCTGCTAACACGCATTGGGGCGGTGCGGCGGAATCATGCTTCAAACCCTTTCAGAAATAGGGAGAGGACTATGTCCAAGACAAATGAAGGCTATCGATTTACTTTTTTTTTATAGGATAGGGTGATAAACGAGCACACAGTCCACCTGATGGTAAGTGGTTCCTGTGACCAATAGATATCTACATCTATACTCAGTAAAGGACCATGATGCAGATGCGTTGTCACCCGTGAGGACTAAGATGGAATGCCTCTTTTCCAGTAAAAAAGGGTCTCCGGTTTTCTACAATCACCATACGAAACAGCAATGTTAAGCTGCTATTTTATGCTGGTATTCTGTGAGAGCGTCGTCCTTTCCCGGTCGAGCCGACCCATTCGTGCTAGAACTATTCCACTAATATAACTTAAACATGGCTCTACCACGTATAAAATACTTACACGTAATGTTGTGATACCCTCGACAGATCAATATCCAATTAGTTTTATCACTCCCCATCTACCTAACAATGAATAGCCGGCCAGCCTTGATCTCAATCATTATATTTTCATGCAATATAAATTACTTTCCAGTGTGTAGGCTTTATCATTATATTTTATGCAATATAAATTCTTTTCTTATTTTCCAGTGTGTAAGCAGTGCAGAACTTATCACAACAGTGAACACGAGGTTAAAACCTCACGATCATGACCATGATCATGACCTCAGCGAACACGAATCAGAGAGCCTCATATCCGAGGACACCTTACAGGCTATATGCCCCATTTTACTATATCAGAAACTAGCTAACACTTCTATAGAAAGGCTAGGCTGTGTAAAAGAATTGAATCTACCCAATAGAAGGAGCGATAAAAAACTTAAACCCTTCGAAAATGCGTACACGAAAAATATGTTCGCAGTGTGGCTGTACTCGTCGTTGAGTATCACAGCGATCAGTGCATGCGGGTTACTTGGTGTTGCGGTAATTCCAATAATGCACAAAACATATTACAACCATATCTTACAATTCCTCGTGGCATTGGCTGTTGGAACCCTATGTGGTGACGCACTGCTACATTTAATGCCACACGCGATGAGCCCCATGGAACACGACCACGACCATGAGGGAGGCGCGTTAGAAGTTAAAACGGCGCACGATGATGGAATGTGGAAGGGATTAGCCGCGATGCTGGGCGTCGTGTTCTTCTACTTCACGGAGAAAGGTTTGACAGTTGTCGTAGAATGGAGGAAGAGACGCCAGAAGTTGGAAGAAGACAAATTACCCTCAAGGGTACGAGTTTTGAAAGACGAAACCGTCGGCGGCTGTTCGGGTGGCTCTAAATCCCCAATTTCAAATTCCACATCGAACAATTTATTGAAAATTTTCAAGAGGGATGAAAAGGCAGATCCGACGACGAAGACTTGCAAGCACAAGTACTCCGAATATCCTTATTGTTATGATGAAATTGACACGGATACGCACGACGAGCATCACATGAGAGACGGTCTTCCGCCAAGTCCGAAGGCAAATACAAAGAAACATAACAACTGCGTCAGCGTGGTGTCATCCAACGCTCTGAATCAAGAAGGCAAGGAGAACGAACCAACTGCAAAGGATTGGTTGCTAAAAGCAGAGTCTACTCCTGCTGTTGTTGAAATGAATAACATCAAGCATAAAGAGGATGGTGCTAAGGAACTGAAGGATGGTGACAGCTACACAGTCATTCTAAGGTAAGTGGAACAGATTTTTTTTTATAAAAGAAGGGTGACAAACGAAACATTCCACCCGATGGTAAGTGAATGCTGTGGCCTATAATAGACAGATTCGTTGTCACCCTTGAGGATGGAATGCCTCGTTTCCAGTAAAATGGCTCCCCAGTTCTCTAAACTTACCATACGAAACACATTAAGCTGTTATTTACAGTCGAGCCGACCTATTCGTGCTACAAACATTATATAGCTTCAGCATGGCTCCACCACGTAGAGAATTGTATGTTATGGTATTTCTTAGACAAGAGTTGCAGTAATTCATAGACTGACTGACCCTTGGTCAAAGTATAGTGGGAAATATCTTAAGTTAGTACACAAACTGTTTTCAAATCAGTCCAGCGCTAAATAGCCAGAGTTGCTACATGAGACGGGCCCTTATTTTAAAGTCAGTGGCAGTCAATGCTTTTTAGATTGTTTATAGTATTCTGTGAGAGCGCGGTCCTCCCACGATGGAACCGACTCATTCGTGTTCTAACGCTCACTCCATAATTTCTTTGTCGTTTAAACTTGTTACCGCATTATGTAGTTGTTGTATGTTACGTTAGGATGTTGTTATTTTACGATCGAATAATAAAAAAAAGGAATGGATAGAAGGAATAATAAAAGTATCCTTAAATCGATATCTTAACCAGAACCAAACTGGAACCGTACCGAAAAATGGATCCTATATCAGAACTTAAAAAAAGAACCACAGCGAAATTTGGAACCGGTTTTCAACTCCAACTTAGGTATTTTATTCCTCAAGGGCAGCCTTCTCTATTTCAACTAATTCATTATGTGATTTATAATGGAATTCGACCGATCATTCATTTTTAAGGTTTGTGTGTTAAGCAAGCTATATTTTCTTCTCTCTAAGATACATGTTGTTTTATTATATTATGTATATACAAAATATATAAAAGAAACGCTTTCTTGCCTAAAACATAGTGATTATAAATACATATGTATTTTTCGGTACTTACCTACTCTGAGACCTTATGAGTACATACACAGTTTGAGACTTTACAGTATGAACGTCAATAAACCACAATTTGTCTAAGCGACATTTATGTGTTTGACTTTGAGAGTAAGAACGTAAACAATGTATGATTTAATGTATTTGTAATGCATATTGCATAGTCAATAGTCAATATTTTATGACATAATTACATTTCCGACATGCTTAACTATTTTTTTATCAAATTCTGTATCCATTAATGTTTTGTTTATGTTGCATTCGCCTTTCATATAGTTATTTTGTTTTAGGTACTTACTTTATCTGATATGCAAAAAATAATATAGTTCGTATACCCACAGTGTGAAACTAAGGTGAACTTGATTATATATGTAGCTAACATCTATGTAATACCTATGATCCACAAAATAAATGATTCTGATTTTGATATTTTAAATAAATTTTAGTTCTGCACTCCTTCTCCATATAAACTTTATGTAAAATCTAACAGTCCTCAGTGCGCGAAATTTGCTTAAAAACGAGTACAAAATTTTGCCTTCACCTGTTAACATATAGATTTCGTTTCCGGTATCTATAAGTTGCAACAGTAATTTATCAGGTGGTATTTCCTCCTCCTCCTTCCTCCTTAATCACTCTAACTGAGCACTGTTCCTCAGGGAACACTCGCGCGCGCACCACGGGCACTCGCACGCGCACGGGCACGTGCACGCGCCGCCCTCCTCCATGTCGTCCGTCGCCTGGATGGTCATCATGGGCGACGGCCTGCACAACTTCACCGACGGCATGGCCATTGGTAAGTAACCCCACATGACAGTCGACACTAGTATACCCTACTCCATACTTGGATTCACTTATAAAATAATCTAAATCAAGACCTAGAGCCGAACAAGTCTCTTATTTGGTACTTTTCACGTTCTCATTTAACATATCTATATTACACGACATTTGATAGGTATGGCAGCAGTGGGCGGCTTTGTGTGTATAAAAAAGGGTGATAAATAAGCACTCAGTTCATCTGATGATAGTGGTGGACATCTGTCTTCAATTGAGAATTTAAATGTAGATTGGTCGTCACGGAGTAAGATAAAAGGCCTCGTTTGCAGTAAAAAGGGTCTCCGGTTCTCTTCTCTCACGAAACTGCTGCATTAAGCTGCTATTTTGCGCTAGTAATCTATGTATAAGCGTCGGCTTTTCCCGGTCGAGCCGATCATAATAGAGCGTCGTGCAACAACCTTAGAATATGAGCAGAATGGCTCTGCATCGTATTAAAACATGTAATGTTGTTTTCCATCGAATTTCTAGTGAGCCTCACCGCATACAGACCCAACGACATTCGAGAATAAATCAATTAATAAATCACCTAAATGGAGTTTCCAAACCGCTCTTCATAGTGATGTATTTTCACATAACCACTCCGTTCGGACTACTCTTTGTGTTAACCGCCAACAGTTTATTTTGTCATTAGGATGGATTTACAAAAATATAAAACGTTTCGAAACCCACGGTACAAAATTTGGGTATCTGGTTTTTGTATGCCGCTAACATAGTCTTGGGTCCTGAATTAGAGTTCCAGCTTTAGCTAAACAATGGAATGTATACCATATTTTAAGTAACATAAGATTTTATAAGAAAATCCGCTACTCCCCTCTAGTTGTTTGAATTTTGCTACACAATCAATAGCGATAAAAGAGTTATCAAGAATTATCCCACTTTACGAGACTATGTTACGAGTTGACGATTGTACCCATACTCGCATCTTGGTCCGCCACTATTATAATTATTTATTGAGAACAAATGCGACAACTGCGACCGCCTTAGCAATTCACTGCCGGGATATAGGCCTTTTAAAGTATGTGTCATACTTCTTTTTCTTCATACGACTTCTTAATTTCTACATAGTCGTTTCTTGCGATACCCACAGGAAAAAATGGAGTTGTGAATTTTAAGACTAATACTAAAGCATTCCTTTCAGGAGCGGCGTTTGCATCTAATATCGCCGGTGGTTTCTCTACAGCCATTGCGGTTCTCTGTCACGAGCTTCCTCACGAGTTGGGTGAGTTTTTTTGGGATTTAAATAACTTCTTTTTCAGCAATTATAAAGATATAAATAACTTCTTTTTTAGCAATTTCAAGTCGGTTTCTCTTTTTGTTAAAAGCTATAATTATAACATGTGGGTAGTAGATTATTTCAAACTGTCACTACACGGCTTTATAAAAGGGAAGTGACAAGCGAACTTATAATCCACCTTATGGGAAGTGTCATTTATAAACAAAGCAGGCTACAGATGCGTCGTGACCTCTGAGGATTTAGATGGAATGCCTAAGAGCTTGAAATTATACTAGCTTTCTATATCCTTCAGAATAAAATACAGCAGTATAAGCACTATTTCCTGGCAGAAATAGGTAAGAGGCTGATATTTACACAGACGGATTCCTGAACAGAAAAGAAATCCTACCGCTAAAAAGAACCACTTTGTCGTATCTCCTCAGTTTCAAGGTACTCCCCTTGTTGCCTCAGCCAGTATCGGAATCCTTGGCGTCGACATATCGAGTAGCGTGCAGTCTCGTGGTCACTTGGAAGAAAAGGCCAAATTGGCCTCTAAAAAGCTTGGCGTGCTCAGCAGAGCGGGACAGTATTTCATGCCGGCTCAACGCCTGCAACTTTACAAGGCGCAGGTTCGGCCTCACATGGAATACTATTCCCATCTCTGGGCTGGGGCTCCCCAGTGCCAGCTTCTTCCACTTGACCGCATCCAGCGCAGAGCGGCTCGAATCGTCGACGACCGAGTCCTTTCCGATCGGCTCGACTCATTGGCACTGCGAAGAGATGTTGCATCTCTTAGCATTTTCTTTCGCATTTACCATGGGGAGTGCTCTGAGGAATTGTTTGGATTAATCCCAGCCGCCAAATTTCACGAACGCACATCGCGGCAGAACTCCCGATACCATCCACACCATCTGGATGATTGGCGGTCCACCACTGTGCGATTTAGAAGATGTTTTCTTCCTCGCACAACTTCCTTGTGGAATAGTTTACCACCAGCGATTTTTCCGGACCGATACGACTTAGGGACCTTCAAGAAAAGAGCCTACTCCTTTTTAAAAGGCCGGCAACGCATATGCAATTCCCCTGGTGTTACGGTTGTTCATGGGCGGCGGTAGTCACTTACCATCAGGTGAGCCGCATGCTCGTTTGCCCACTCTCCTATAAAAAAAAAAAACCTACCACCTGGTATAATTAATAAGTCCTCAAGACTGAATTTCGATCACGGCGGTCAGTCTCCGCGAACTAGCCCTCTGCGCAAGATAGGATAATAGTGCCCGAGAGTATGCGCAAGCACAGGTTCACTCTATTCCCTCATTCTCAAGTATATATTATATTGTAATGTATAGTACGTAATATAAGATGCTTAGATTATATAAAATGTCCAGATTCCGTGTTCAATACAAAACGCAACATTTATCGTGAAGCCAATTTTTATACGTGTGTGAGTGAACGCCACGCTCTCGAGTATATTACGTAACGCATTTGCGTTAGTGTGCCATACGCGTGTAATACCAGCGGCACAAAATCACCCCAAAAATGTGGGAGTTTTTAAATATTATATGTCGTCTAGTGTAAAGGATAATTTTCATCATTACTGTTGCTAATTTTTAACGTTATTTGCTTTCATTAGTGTAATTTTTTATGTGCAACCACTTTGTGGTGTGCTTGTGTAAGTTTATGAAATGTTTGTACATCTTACAAACAAAATAATATTGTGTAGGTTTATGAAAAACCTACACAATATTATTTTAAATCGGTAAAATTAAATCGGTAGTAAGCAGGAGCAGTCCAATCGATATTTGTAACGGCTCAAAATCCGATGTCGGTACGTCATTTTCATATCAACGCTGATTTTTTCAAGGATTAGTTTCTAAACAAAATTGGAAGTGAACATTGGACGTTTCTGGTTTAGGTTTCCGACAAAGTAACCGAGAGGAGCATTAAGCTCCTAAAATACGAGCCATGTCCCAAAAAAATACCGCACTGAAATCGGTTCAGAGGTCAGAGAGCTGTGAGGTTGAAGAAACAAACTAACACTCACAAAAACAATCATCGTTCATGTTAATAAAACTCTTAAGTCATACCTTTTCTTTTTCGAGAGATTTTAAATAGCTAAAAATATGGGTAAATAGATTTCATGCCCTTCGCAACACTTAAACAGTTGTGGCGTCACAATAATGTCAAATTATTAATTTTTCGTTTTCATATTTAAAAGTCGGTAACAAAGAAATACAAAGTGAAATGAATACTTATTTATTAAATAACATGTTATGGCACTTTTCTTTTTTTAAAGTGTAATTTTTACTCGATTTCATAACACAAACTGTCATTTTTTTCAAAATCAAACCACCTATTCGTGACGTGTTTAAGCGGGGAACGTTACTTAGCGTGTAGAGCGGGGATCGAACGAAGTAGTCAATATTGACTACCACTTGTATTTGGCTTCAATTCACGGTATCCTACTAGGAATCTGGACATTTTTTTTGTAGGAGAGGGGGCAAACGAGCATGCGGCTCACCTGATGGTAAGTGACTACCGCCGCCCATGAACAACTGCAACACCAGGGGAACCAGGGGAATTGCAGATGCGTTGCCGGCCTTTTAAAAAGAGTAGGCTCTTTTCTTGAAGGTCCCTCAGTCGTATGGGTCCGGAAAAATCGCTGATGGTAATCGATTCCACAAGGAAGTCGCGCGAGGAAGAAAACATCTTTTAAATCGCACAGTGGTGGACCGCCAATCATCCTGATGGTGTGGATGGTATCGGGAGTTCTGCCGCGATGTGCGTTCGTGAAATTTGGCGGCTGGGATTAATCCGAACAATTCCTCAGAGCACTCCTCGTGGTAAACGCAAAAAAAATACAAAGGGATGCAAAATCTCTTCGCAGCGCCAATGAATCGAGCCGATCGGAAAGGACTCGGTCGTCGACGATTTGAGCCGCTCTGCGCTGAATGCACTCAAGAAGAAGGAGCTGGCACTGGGGTGCCCCGGCCCAGAGATGGGAACAGTATTCCATGTGAGGCCGAACCTGCGCCTTGTAAAGTTGTAGGCGTTGTGCCGGCATGAAATACTGTCCCGCTCTGCTGAGCACGCCAAGCTTTTTAGAGGCCAGTTTGGCCGTCTCTTCCAAGAAACTGCACGTCACTCGATATGTCGACGCCGAGGATTCCTATACTGGGCGAGGCAACAAGGGAAGTGCCTTGAAACTAAGGAGATTCGACAAAGGGATTCCTTTTAGCCGTAAACGCGCAAACTTGTCTTCTGAGGATTAAACTGGACTAGATTTAGTCTCCCCCAATCCGAGACTGTTCAGCAAAGACTCGACAAGTTTTTTCCGGTACTCGGTGACGTTTTCCCGAGAAATATTGGCACGGCCGGTGTATAGAGCATCACCAGTGCTGTCATCCGCATAGCAATGAACGTTACCAGTTTGCAACATATCATTGATATGCAGAAGAAACAGCCTTGTGGAACACAAGCGTTAATAGGCTTGTAGTCGGAGCATGCACCGTCTACAACGACCTTGATGCTCCGATCTGCAAGAAAGCTGGTGATCCAATTGCACAATTTCTCGGGAAGTCCATAGGAAGGGAGCTTCGAAAGAAGCGCTTTATGCCTAACCCGATCGAAGGCCTTCGCAATGTCCAAACTAACGGCCAACGCCTCCTTCTTGGACTCTACTGCCTCCGCCCATCTATGAGTCAGGTAGACCAGAAGATGATCGACCCCGACGAAAACCGTATTGGCGGTCATTAATCGGCTGGTGATCCTCAAGGTACCGCATGAGCTGGCAGTTTGTAATGGATTCCATTATTTTCGAAAACATGGAGGTGATAGCGATAGGCCTGTAGTTGGACGGGTCTGAGCGGTCGCCTTTTTTAGGAATCGGGTGGACAAAAGCTGTCTTCCATGATTTCGGGACTACGCCTAGGGAGTAGGAGTACCGGAAAAGACGCATTAGAACCGGTGCCAACTCCGGAGCACACGTCCTCAGCACAATCGGGTGGATTCCGTCAGGCCCACTCGACTTGTGGATATCCAGGGAGAGGAGTGCTTTGCGAACCGAGCGCAGTGAGAACCGCAAATCCGGCATGGAGCGCTCACACCGCGGTATGGTCGGCGGTGTGTTCCCCCCGTCATCAAGAATCAAGTTGGACGCAAAAAGGGAGCCAAGGTCGGCTTTCTCTTTTGCGGCGTGGGCCAGTGAGTCGTCCTCCCTGCGCAGAGATGGTAGTGATGGCTTACAGAAATTCTCTTGGACAGCCTTGGCGAGAGACCAGAACGCACGGGTTCCCGAAGGAAGGCGAACTAGTTTCTCGCCAATTCTGCCTATGCGCTCTGACTTTGCCTTGGCAATAACTCTTGAAGGACCTGGAGGCGAATTTATACTTATTTTTAAGCATGCTGGTGTTTACATTCCGAGTCGCCGAATCCGCAGCCCGGCTTGATAACACTCCTGCTTACTGCGTAATGCAGTCTTACAGGAGCAACCAAACCAAGGCTGAGATCTGCCTCCGATGGGTACCACAGATGATGGAATAAATAGTTCCATTCCCTGTAGCACCACATCAGTGACAGTCATCAACAGCGCTGGAATCATCCGGCGAGAAGCAAACCTGCCCCCATGGGTAGGATGCAAAGAAAGACCACATTCTGTCTCAATCCGCCGACCTGTAATGCCAAACACGGCGGCAACCTGCTGAACGCAACGGCAAGGGGAGCGTGAGTGGCACCACATTACGGATCAGACAATGGTCCGAAGAGCCGAGAGGGGCATCGACGGAAACCGGATATCCGTCCGGATGAAAGATCAGCAGAAGGTCCAACAAGAAAGGTGTATGATCATCCATATCTGAAATCTACGTAGGAGAAGTAACCAGTTGTGTCAGACCATATGCCAAGGCAAAGTCATAAACAGATCTCCCGGCATGATCGGTTAAACGTGAACCGAGCCAATCGGCGTGGTGGACGTTAAAATCGCCAAGGATCACGATCTCTGCGGATGGGAGCTGTTGTAGCAAGGAACCTGTAGCCATTTGGACGTGGTCGATGAGTCGGTCTGTTTCGGCATTACCGCTATAGGACGTATAGAGGCATCCGTAGACGCGCGGATGGTCGTCGCTGACTACGCGTAGCCAAAGGATGGACAGGCCCGAACCTTCAAGACTGCCGAGGCGTCGAGAACAGGTGTCCTCTCTTACGTATACGCAAACTCCAGCCCGGGGCACAAAGAAGTGCTCCAATTTGTACCCGGGTAGGAGATATACGAAGTATCAGCCGGAGAGGACACTTGCGTCTCGGTCAGAAAGAGCAAGGCCGGCTTAACCGTATCGCCTCGAGCAGTTATTGTTTTGAGCGGAATTTTACCCCCCCCCCCCCCTCCCCCCTTCCCCCGAATACACGGGGCAGTCTGAGTACCCACGCTCAGAAGTGGTGTAACATGGTCGTGGATGCTCAGCGAGGGATTCTCCAGGGTTGCTGGTACTAAAACTGCTGGTGGACAAAACGTAGAAGGAGAAACTTCACGCCGGTAGTCTGTGAGGTCGTGGTATCAATCCAGCTCGAGCCGGGCCATACGTGGACAGCAAAAGCTGCCGCGTGGCGCTACCACCGTTAAATGAATTTTATATAATGTAAGATAAGATGGTGTTGTGGTGGCGCAGGCGACTTCGCGGTGCTGCTGAAGGCGGGCATGTCGGTGCGGCGCGCGGTGTGCTACAACGCGCTGTCGTCGGCGCTGTGCCTGGCCGGCATGGTGTGCGGCGTGCTGGCCGGCCACGCGCCCTCCGCCACGCGCTGGCTGTTCGCCGCCGCCGCCGGCATGTTCCTCTACATCGCGCTCGTCGACATGGTTAGTACTACTGCTTCGGATGCTTCTGAAGCACGCCTTGCACTCCACGCTTCAAAAGCGTCCAAAGTGACCTAAGAAATTTGCTTGAGACGCTTCGGAAGGTATAATTGCGTTCGGACGAACTGCTGAAGATGTCACGTGGGAATAGACACTTCCGAAGCGACTAGAGCAATTCAATTGGGTTGCTTCAGCCGGGCTATTCACAATCGTCTCGGAAAGCGAAATCGACTCGGATTCGATAACTTCTCGCACCGAAACCAATAAACGCTATTCACATTTAACGTTCGGGTAAAGGTCACTTAGATATATGTACATCCCATAACTATTGTATCGTCATTTAGTTACATGCATTTACGAATTTTGTAGATAAATAGGCATTTTGTATGTTTTTTGAGTAACGCCTGAACAAAAACATAATGCAATATTTTGAAGTTAGCCATTGATATCGAATATAATAATAATTCAATATATATAGTAAATAACAAAAAAAAACTGAGATAGGTCTCGTTTCTGTCGGGTCTGGGTTTTTTTCTATGGAGCGTGACCGTACTTCTTTGACGTTTGTTTTCGATAATTGTGACAGTTTGCCTCGGAAACGAGAGCTCCGAGGCTGGCGAAAACTTGAATATTGATCATTAGATGAAATAAATAAACCCTTTTAATTATAAGGTAGGTAACAAAAATTAATTACAATTATCTATATAACGTATTTTCATATAATTCTTTTTTTTTTTTTTTTAAAAAACGTTACCCCCACACTAGGATTTTCTCCTGTATCGTGGAGGCAGTTTACAAACACAAATTTCACAAGGACAAACATCCAGACCCGGAACAATCATTTGTAGGCCATACAAATACTTGTTCCGTGCGGGATTCGAACCCGCGCCCCCCAGCGCAGCAACTCATTGCTAAGCCATTGCGCCACGGAGCCGTCATTCTTACTTCAATATTTGCACTTAATCGTAAAGCTGACTTTTAATAATAATAAAATATAAATAAAGTTGCTAAATATATATTCATAACTGTGTATATATATATGCTGCTTTGTGAAACGAGACATATCTCAGTTTTTTGTTATTTATTATATAGTTAAATTATATATTTTTTGTATTCGATATCAATGGCTAACAGCAAAATATTGTCTTATGTTTTTGTTCAGGCTTACCCTAAAAAAATACAAAATGCCTATTTATCTACAAAATTCGTAAATGCATGTAACTAAATGACGATACAATAGTTATGGGGTGTATCTAAGTGACCTTTACCCGAACGTTAAATGTGAATAGCGTTTATTGGTTTCGGTGCGAGAAATTATCAAATGCGAGTCGATTTCGCTTTCCGAGACGATTGTGAATAGCCCGGCAGAAGGTAGAATTGCGTTCTTACTCACTAACGGAAATGTTAGGCGTTGATAGACACTTCCCAAACGACCGAAGCAATCATCTCTAGAGCTATAGCGTCCAAAATCTAGAGCTTCGTCTTTTTAGCTTATAATTCTATAGCTTCCAGATGTTAACTTTAAATATAATTTAAAACAATGCCTGTTTCTCAATATTACTTTATCAATTGAAAGTTTAATTTTTTAGTTTTACACACCTCGAAGGCGGAACGACATAAATTGAGCATTTACCGATGTTTTGATTTACAATAACCACTATTTAGCCCTAAATATATTATATATCAATTATCTATTTTGTACAACTATTATTAATTATGGTGATGACTATATAGTAACTCAATGGTTAGTTTCCTAATTCTGCTATGCAGTGGGGTCCTGTATTCAAATTTGAACACGCAAACTGTTGGTTTTTTATTAGTTAATCACTGTTATCAAAGTTGACCAGAAGAACATTATTATCATTATAAATGTTTATTAATAGTTTGGCGATCTTTCCATTTTAACTGTGATATTCTATGTGTTTTTATCCAGAATAAGGTGTAGAAAATATTTGTGTTCATGTTTCAGATGCCAGAATTAAGCACATCCCACAGCAAAGAGGGGACACTGTGCCAATGTATTCTACAACTGATGGGTCTAGCATCGGGAATTGGCATCATGCTCGTCATCGCCATGTACGAGCATGACCTCAAAACGCTCTTCGGTTAAAAAGTTGAAACTGCAGTAGACAACCCAGTGTTAAGCGTTAATAAGTGAAAATGTTCTCTAACAAAAAACTAAAAGTGTCAAATTTGGCGGAACAGTGCAAATAAACTGGTGTGAAGTGAGTCAAGTGTATGAATTTCGAATTTGTAATATAAGTGTTTTCCTAACTTCAATTATATTGAGGTCTTTATTATACTATTTTCTCGAAGGTCATATTGACCTATAGATTAAAAATAATGAAATTGAATAACTGACCATGTTCTCTAATTCTATTATGAATTTGTTTGCTTTAGTATTTAAGTACAAAAGAAATAGTTAATGTGCATGGCTATAATAAAAATGTTTTACTTGTCTACATTTTAAAAATCAATTTTTTTTTCATTCTATTGAATTCAAAAGAAAAAGTTATCTACACAGATAATGTGAACCAATTCTATAGCTGGTGCTCTGTATTTTTGGGTAAGCAGTTCCTAAGAACGTATATTATTTCTCATACTTATTCCTTAAGGAATTCAATTACTCTAACTGTAATGTGATGTACTTAGACAGCGCTCAACTCCTTACTTTTAAAGTATAAGTATGTAACTTAGAAGAAACTTAATCATGTAACGGATACTTAAATAGGATTTGTAATAAATTATTATGAACCTGTGGACGTGTAAGTTATTGTGTGGAAAAAATCCATTAAATTACCTTCTTACCGACCTTGATACCACAGACTGTACCATAGTTTTTGAAAAGGGAAAATGTGTTTATGGAGAATGCAATTGAAACTTGTTAATTACTGTTTAGAGTGTTGCTAAAAGTTACATATGGATCTGAGACTCGGTTACCACTGGGCTTATGAGGAAGCTCAAGGTCTCTCAGCGAACTATGGAACCAATATAGCCCAGCGAATGAGTAGGCTAAAGTAGCAAAGGGATGGTCATATAGTATGACGAAACGACAACCGATGGGGGAAGTTTCTCGAGTGGCAGTATTGTTCCTGTAAGTGAAGTGTAGAGCGGCCCCCACACGATGTAGTGACGACATAGTGAGAAATGCAGGAGGTGTATACTATGTTTCAGCAGTGGATTTGGGACAAGCTGTAATGATAGTGATGATGATGATGATGAACAATTCAATTTGAGTGAGATTTATATTGCTATTGCTACTTAGAAATAGTAATACATTATTGTAAAAAAACAATCTTAGTAAATTTCATATGCTTATATCTATTTAAAGCCTTATTAGACGTAATTTCAATAAATCAGTCTGTTACTAACATCACTATACGGCCAAACAGATCTAGGGCTTTGCTAAACTCATCTAAAACGTCCTTCATGGTTAGTCTCGATTTTGCCAAGACAGTATTTGTTAAGAACGCTCTGCTAACAGGAGTTAGTGAGATTCAAGTAATAGTGCAAGCACCGACTTCTTTCCTCACTTTATTGCGCTCCAGTCGTATCGGTTTACCGTCCCATCGGACTATGAGAGGGAATAAAGAGTGCACATGTGCTTGCACACTTGGACACTATAATCCTGTCTCTATGGCTAGTTTCTGTTGCGGCCGCCGTGACCGAAATTATGACATTATTATTATTATACATTATTTTCGTAAACCATAATCACAAATTATAGCTTACATATATTCTATTTAAATGCAAATTTTGATTATAAAGCCTGATTAACTACAAACGCTCAGTCTACTTTGTCACTTACCACCAGGCGGCACTCCCTCAGCCCCGCAAGGCCACCACCGTTGCTCTGCACAAGCACATTCATTTCCCAACTGTAGGTCTAAACTGTGAGTATACTGTGCAGCGCTGAGATTAGGAAGTAAAGATGCTTGGTTTTGAACACGAATCCTTTCATTTTCATCGTCTTGAATCAATCATAAGATAAACATATTTATACAAAATGTCTAAATTATTCAATTTGTCATTTCTGTTATGGTTTTTGGGCGGTAGGGACAATTTTGTACACTTCTCAGCAAAAAATAAAACGGGTTTTCATCGAATGATCACAGAGATAAAAATAGACTACTACGCATGTCAAGGGTTCACGACCAGGGAACAAATATAAAAATGTTACATCGAAGACAATTTTTTTTTAATTTTTTCAAATTTGGTTACTGTCAAACTCAGACCAATGAAAAAAAACAAAAAACAGTACTGAGTACATTTCAAGTGACGCAAAAACCGAGTCAACTTATTGTAAGAACACGCACTCACGCATATAAACCACAGAGATTTAAACTTTTTTGCAACAACATGGTTTTAGGTGCATATATGTGCGTCCAGCAGTGGACTTTCACGGGTTGATAAAAAAGAAAGAAGATGTGTGCGTGAGTGCGTCAATAATTTGAGCATGGTTTTGGCATCACTTGAAATGTACGCTACGCTCCGTCTATCGAGTAGTAATTGTCATTTTGACAATTATTACTCGAGTGAGGACAATCAATTTATTTTTTCGTCTACTGCTAAACATCATCATACAAAGATTGCCTTATATAGGGATATATTTGCTATAATTGCACGTTTCAGACGAGTTGCATACATCTTTTATTATTTAGAGTTGTTATCAGGAGGACGCGATCCATTACCCATGATATGAGGTAGTGGGTTCTCTTACACGCCTCCACTACACAGCATTATTTATTTAAGTAGCAAATTCGATCCGAAGCAAAGACGGATCTCGAGAAGTTCCGTTACTATTAAGGCTTTCGATTGCGAGTTTAGCTGAACGCACATTTGTCAGCACTGTACAAGCCCACGCGTCTTACGCGCCGCATTTTAGAATCCGTTGTATGAAATCATATGAAACAGAGCGTGCCTATACTCAGTGTTGTCTAATATTGCCAACTTAGTGGATTTTCCACAAAACAGGTGGTTTCGACTTCTTGAATTTTTTTGTATGTCAAATTTAAATATCTGAAAAATCGTTCATCATCATCTAATAAGTCTTTATTTTAAAGACTTAAGTACATATAATATTTAAGTGAGTATAATATTCTCCATACAACTTTTTAAATATTAATAATGTGAATCCAGAATCTTCTTTTACTTCGAATTTTATTTTCTTCTTCCTCTGCCAATCAAGCAGGCTATTACAACAATTTTTTCACTTCAGTCACTGTACCATTTCACACCAGTGGTTGGAAAAAACTGTAAAGTAGTTGGCAATACAAAAGATTTGCGTACGGCGCGTACGTGCCAATGTTCGAGGTCATCAGTAAATGCGGCGTCTACAGTGCTGACAAATATGCATTCAGCTTTTGTATGCCATTTAGCGTAAGTCTACAGCTTATTACCATCACCAACTTTTGTTGATTGGTGTTGAAACGAGTATGAGTATGGGCGTGCAGGCCCTGTTGCTTTTTCTACGGACATTCTTCTATCCATATTTTAGCCAACTGACTATGCGGAATAATGCCGACCTTATAATGTGTGTGACACGCCTTAACTGATATCATGTCGAGATACGCAAATGAATCGACAATTTTCACCTGTATTATATTATTTTTGTTCTCACTTTCAACACTTTATAAATAGTATGCATTTTTTGTTTTATTAAAAAAAAGTATTTTAGTTATTTATTTTTCGACCCATAATTTTTAATTGAGTTACGTTTTATGTTGAGAGAAAATTAACCAAAAAAAAAAACAAATCTTAGTGTTATTCCGACCTTGTGTAATTTAGCAACTATGATGTTGGTGCCCTCAGTGTATTTTTTATTCGCTGAACTACCAAGGCTGCTAACTATGTGTATTTATAATTGCTTAAATGTTTTATTATGTAACAATGTTCATATCTAATACCTGATCGTTACTCGTTGTTGACAATGATCGCTACGAAGCTATTTCTAATTTTTGTTTTGTTAATTGTGTAACATACATGATTGTACGCTGTTATTTTAAAAAAAAGTCCCGCTGGGTTTCTTGCTGGTTCTTCCCAGGGCAGAGGTTTTTTTCGAACCAGTGGTAATTAAACAAAAGAGTGACTTTCAATAAGTATTTATAATCTATATTGAATAAAAAAGTTTCTGTTTCTGTGGCCTATGTAAGGGGTCAAGTGCTTGAAGATTCTGAACTTACAATCACGACCTCAAGAATATTGGTTGTACAGCTTTTTAGTATCAATTGAAATAAGTTATTGTGATTATCGTAGAACTTTTCTATTAGGTTTTAATTTTTTTTTAAAGTACTTATTGGGTACTTTCATAAATTTTAATCATTTGTTAAACATTAAAATATACGTATAATTTACAAAACAGACAAAAATGCTAAAGAATCCAAAGTCTAAATTTTAGTCTTTGTGGTATTTACAGTATGTTATAAAGTACATGTAAAGAATGAAGAGTATGTAATGTAGTCGCTGCATCGTATGTCTATGGAACAGTACAGTTGTTATCAAACTGTAAATACTGTATATAAATAAATTATGTATTTAGCTGTCAAATTAAAAAAAATACGTGAGAATGTGTTAGTAAATGAAATATCTAAACAATAATAAAATAGGTAATTTGTTATTGGAATGGCCCAAACTATTTGAACCACAGATTTAACTTTAAATCTGTGGTTTTTAATATTGAACCCATGTCATGTCATGTCTTAAGGCCAGGTTGGACAAAAATATAGTTCTTCACACAATATTTTGTCGCTTGAGAATTATTACTTCTTGAAATAGTATATGCTTAAAAAAATCTGCATACACGAAATACTTAATTAAATTCATAATCCAATGTATTTTTAAAATATTTTCTATTAATCGGGATAAAAAATTAAATTTAAACGCCGAGAAAAATCTTTAAAGTTCGAGTTCACGTTTTTTTAAGCGATAACCATAATGTTATATTTTTCGATATTATGAAGTGCATTAGATTCTTAATAGGCTACATCTTTATTTAGATACTTTATTTTCGCAAAAACGTTTCAAATAAAGTAACTTTGTGTCTACCAAATGTAGCACACTTAGTGCTGTACACATGCATGCAGCGAAGAAGAAAACCCTTGCCTTAACAGT